ACGACTACAACGCTGTTTTGTACGGCTAAAGCGTCAAACTTCCTAGTTACACATTATTTTCATGGAGGAATTGTCGTATGTGCTTACCCAATATTTTGTCTCTTGTGTTCATGTTCGCTTTTATTTTTCATTGCCGCTCATTTTCACCTTGCTGGTCGCTAACATTTCTCATTTTCTCACCGCCGCTTTGAATTTCCATGTTTTTCTTCTTAAGAAATTCGTCTCTTTTGTTTTCAATAACTCGCTCTAGCTCTTTCTCTGCTGTCCACGTTAATGTAAACATAAAAAATAACGCCGAAAAAGACACGACTTTGTAGTTGTTTTTTCTTCTAAATAAAACCTTGAGTCGCATTTAGGTTGCCATACCTGCTGATTGAGTTATTTTACATTGGTATGCCTGTGGTGTGGACGGACGGTCGCTCGGTGTACGGTCGCGTGATTACCAAATTTTCTTGGATGGGTAATTTACCACATTTTCTTACCCATGGTGCTCCGCGAGAGCTCCGCTATAAACTTTGACTGCATAACAGACAATCAATGCTGTGCTCTAATAAAATGGCTTAAAGACGAAAATCTCTAGACCTTTGAAATGCAGTGTCCAGCTTATTTGTTTTGCTCAAGGGCTAATATCTTCTGGTTGTCAAAGAGCACAAAAAAATTATTGCTACAGACCACTGGAGCACAGTCCTGAAAAACAGGTTTGATAACTACAAGTGGAATGAAAATTCATTACCTCAATCACATCTTCTCCACTGCCTTCTTCAATATTTGTTTTGGCTTTCTAAAGAAATGAATATGTGTTCTCAGCAATGATGTGCAAGTATAATGTTAATAAAAATATAATAATGATACGTTATTCCACTAGCGGAGCAGAACAATAATATTTTTGTAAGGAGCCAGCTCCAGTTTCGATACTTTTTTTCACGGGAACTTCCACTGTATAAAACATGCTTATTATTTTAATAATATTATGGTGTACCACATTTGAAATATAGCAATACAATATAAACCAAAGATTCAATAGAAATGTTAACTAAAGAAGATAAGTAATGCACAGTGAATATGTTAATTTTGTACTTCTCTTTGTACTTCGCTCACTTATAAAAAGACCATTGTGGACAGGTTGTTTTGGCAGTTGGGATGCAATAGGCCACTTTTGGTATATTAAAATTCAGCATGATAACGAGTCTTAGAAGACACAAACAAAAAAAAAATAAACAAGCATACAAAGACAATGAATAAACATGTTTATTCATTTTCTTTGTTTGTGTCCTCTAAGACTCGTTATCATGCTGAATGTTAATGTATCGAAAGTAGCCTATTGCATCGGCAATTGCCGTTGTAGAGAGCTGGTTATTTTAAAGGAGTACATTATTTTTTTTATGACTATTGACCGGGAGAAAAACAAATTATTTAGCATTGTAGGAAGTTGAGAGGTGGCCATCAAAAGAAGTTCACTTGTATTACACAAAATGATTTACAATGTTCATATGCACTTTTTAAGAGGATTAAGAAACTTAGAGACCAGAAATATTTTAATCATCTTTGTAGCATTGGAATCTCCAGAGTTAGCACCATTTGCCTTCACATAGGGAAAAGTATCATATTATCTTGTTATATCAAACACTGTCCACATGATACAGCATACTGTTGTATCTTTTTTAACTAGTTCCATCAAACATTGATCAGTGAAAAATGGAGATTCAGAGACATACATTAAACACCTTTTACTACACAACTTTGGGGTCCATACTACAGCTGTACAAGTTACACACAAAACAAAGAAAGGCGGTTCAGTAATTTACAGCTTCTGTTCAAACAAGTTTCCTAAGACATTTACATCTTTCTGGTCGAAGAACAATGTTGTAATTTTCAGTACGGGTGATGAATGGTCCCTTAAATTATTTTTTTTTGTTTTAACTGCTCGCAAGGCCAATTGTTTATCTCTGCTTGTGCTCGCAGATGCTCGCAAAGACCATTCATCACCCCTTTCAGTGTCAAAAGCACATCCTAACAGAGGGGCAAATATTATTTTGATTTGGCTTCAACATTAAAGACTCTCTTTCAACCACAGTTCCTTGCCTGATGCAAGTCAAAGCATTTTCTGCTTACCCAAAATTCAGGAACTTTATTTTGTGTGTTTCCAGTGTTTATCGAGTTACATCTCAGCCCTTTTCTTTACCTGATTTGTATAGCATGGTTCAGAATCTTAAGTGTACTTGTATTTCCAAAAATACTCTGCTGCAAGTCGTATTTTCAACTCTCTTCTCAGTGATTGATCTGTGATCAAACACTGTGTCTCATGTTTGATATATTACCTTAAACATTTTCTTTTCAAAGATGTTTTCAAGAGAAATTTTGGTGATCAAAACAATGCTTTGATTAAAAAATAGCAGAACATACCGAAAAAGGGACAGCCTGCTAAAATCAGCCTACAGTGTAACCAAGAGATATAAAACTAGGGATCATCAAAAAATGCTTCGTATTATGCCTTGATGCAGCTGAGTAGAAGATGTTTACCTTTCTCTTGTAGGCGGAAGGTTTTCTTTGCTGTGATAGTTTTCTCCCCAGCAGCACTTTGGCTTTTGTTCTGTTAATAGTGAACACACCGTGTTCTCCAATGGGAAATGTCCCATACCACTTGGTTAAAACAGGATTGTCCACAATCTCATCAGCCACTTCCATATTAATTTTTGCGTCTTACTCGCTGGTGCTATCGCATCTTTTTAGAGCTCCGGCACCTTTCCACTAAAATAATAATTAATAGAAGGGAAAACATGTGCAGTAACTTCATATAAAAATGTCATAATGTCTGTCTACATATGACCATATCGCATTTGCCATGAAATTGAGAAAATGCTTATCAATCGCAGCTTTGTGTCAACAAACATATGTCTCCCAAGCATTATATCAAACATTGAAGACCACAAAAATGAATCTGGAAAACTGTTAGGCTAACAAGTTTCAAAAGGACCAACTGCCATCCTTTTCAATTTTTTTAAGTCTGTCCATCTGTTCCTCATTTGAACAAAATGTTTATTTGTACTCACTCTTGCTCTTTGCTTTGTTACGTAAACTTCTTTTCATGTTCTAAGCAGTATTTTTATGTTTCACTGAGATTGGTGGTGGTTTCCACTGCTGTAGTTTTGACAAATTTCGTGACACTGCCCCTTTAAGTTGCTAAGTACTGGTTATTGATCAGTGGTTAAAAAACCTTAGATTTGGTATCAGGGCAGCTTACCTCGTCTTTCTATCTGTATTCTCCATCACAATATTCAGTCTTGGATAGCCTTTAATAGCACAATCAAACACTCCAACTTTCAAATTATTCTTGGCCATCACGAGGTTTTTGTCTCACATTCTGCTCAACTGTGTCAGAAAAGGGTCGCTTTACGAGGGAATCCATCGATTACTGAAGGCCGATGGGTCGACAAATATACATAACAACCCTTAGATGTCTTGTGGTACAATCGGAAAGCAAAAATATACAGACTCCACGCTCCTAGAACCTGGTAGATATATTTTTATTAAATTAGCACTTAAAAGGACCCTACTGTTCAAAGGAAAATCGCGTCTAGTGAAAAAAAAAATGCTGATATTTTTCTTCGGAAATATCGTTTTAAATTTGGACAAATCACTATACAAAGTGGCGTTTTCGATTGTTTTTAATCGTACACGCGTGGAAAACGTAAACGATCACTTCGAGAATACTGTATACGAGCGGTCTGAAAACGTTTTGCACAGTGAACTCATATTCAAAATCCTTGTTTTCACCATTGAAAACAGATGCATTCCGACTGGGCCAAAGTTAGAGTGAGAGAGTAATACTTCGGTATCACTGCTGTTGAGATTTTAATTTCGGTGATCTGTTAAGGTTGATGATATTCTATACCAAAAATTAACAATTGGTCCATACGTCAACATGCGTTCATCGAGACACGCGGAAAAGTTTGGAGACCACGAAAGATGCATAAGGGTTGACCAAGGCGCAGACTTCATACCTCGATAAATGCACGCTGATGCATGAACCAATTGTTTTATAAAATTTTCAACGCGGTAAATATTGTATAAAAGGGACGTCATCAGCGTGCACAGTGGGAATATGAAGCACGCTCGCGCAATTGAATTTGATACACGGATTTTACTTGCTACGTCATAAGTAAGATCGACACATTTTAAAAAAAAAGGAAAGATAAACAATTTTGTTTTATTATTATTATTATTATTTTTAGTTTTCTGAATAAAACAATGAAAAATGAATCATAAATGTCGGAAAAAATTGTTAATGAATCATGAATCATTGGGGTGAGAAAGACAGGAATCACGAATATCGAAAGTCGAATGATTCCGCTTCCACCTCGGAATACGCCGATTCAGGAAAAAGCCGGACGTTGCATGGAAGCGAGGCCTAAGGGCCCTTCGGCCTTCGCGACGCCTGGCGACAAAAACAAATCTGTTGCCGAAAACGTTTTAAGATGGAACAAGTAAATATTGATGTCAAATTGACACCCGAGGAAAGAACGGGAGCTTAAAAATTTGCAGGTTTACAGTAAACCAGATAAAATTCTGGTAAAAAGGTAGAAGATTAAACCATGGCGGTAACAAAAAAAGTCCTTTATGAAAATTAAGTTTAAGATGAAATGATTTTATAACTTTCTAAACTGACCGAAAGATACGATAAGTTGATTTGCTTCCTGACCCACAGAGTCAAGAACCTTAAGAGCGGATGTCTGTAAATATCGACCAGAGGTGGGAAAAAAAAAAAATTTGAAAAATCAAAAAAAAAAAATTATGTAGACTCCCCTAGGTATTCTAATAATGAAAATATAAATTTTATTTTCATTAGATAAATATCTTGGCGATACGGCGAATGTCAAGTTCGGGCGATTGAAAGGGGCCTGGGTAGCAATGGCGTAAGACGTGTCCTTGATCCGTCCGTCACATATTCTTTTTTTCCCGGGTGGTAAATGAAAGAACTGTTGAAAAAGATCTTGGAACGGAAAAGAAGCGAGCGTTCCTCTTCAGAGGAGTCGAGCACTTCACCAGAAGCGAAAAAAGCGAGGAGTGATGAAGTAAACTCTCCTGAAGAAGTCGAGGAGCACGAGGTTGAAGACGAAATCTTTACGGTTTTGAACATGACCGAAGGCTTTCATAAAGCTTTGGAGGAGATAAATCGAAAGCTGGAAAAGCTAGACGCTATCCAAACAACAGTAAATGATGTCCAAACGTCCCTTCAAAAATTGGAAGGGAGAATACAGAAGCTGGAATATTCGCAAACAACCGCCAGCCAAGACATTGAGAACTTGAAAGAAAGCTTAAATATAGCCGAGAAGCAACAGCAGAATTCGACAGCGAGCCTAAAATTTTACCAGGAGAAAACAGATCTCGCTTTAACCGATTTGCAGAAGAAAAATGATGATTTAGAAACTAAGCTTAAAGAGGTACAAGACAAGAATCTCTATTTGGAAGCCTACTCGAGGCGGGAAAATATAATTTTTGAAAATATTGTGCAAGAAACAGACAAAGAAGACACTGAATTAGTTGTTCGCACCTTCCTCGAGACGGAATTAGGATACAAAGATGCAAGCACCGTTGAAATACAGAGGGTTCATCGCTTAGGAAAGAAGAAGGAAGAAAAGCCCAGGCAAATTATCGCAAGGTTCCTCCGCTATAAGAACTGTGAAAAAAATCTAGCTTTGGGCTCCCGTTTGCGAGGAAGCAGATTTAAAATGTATCAAGATCTACCCTACGAAATAGTAGCAAGAAGAAGAAAGCAAATGAACACTTTTAAAGAAGCTAGGAAAAATAACATCCCTGCATCTTTTAGTCGGGCACAACCGGATAAGCTCTTGATAAAAGGTAAAATTTGGCCAGTTGGTAAACCTCTCGAGATACCAGGACAGGTGAGAATGCTTCTTCATCATGTCATTACTCATTAGGTAACCAAGATCACGTTAGTATCGTTTGACCACATTTGCCACACGTTATTATCAATTGCTAGATAATTATTTAGGCGATCGGAATAGAGGTTCGTAACTGATGGCGCTTCGGTTTTTCTTATCTGTCTGTAAGATTCTAGGTAAAAGTCCTAGCTTCCCCCCCATGTCCCTTTACGAAGAGGTTTCTTATTTAGTTGTGTTTATCTGTGCATGTTCTGTTTGGTTTCTATGTTTTAATAGCTTAATCATTTGTTTTAGAAGTAAACGCCTAGTACAAATTCCTATCATACCGTACAGCGATTGTGGAGCTTTGACACCAGGTGATGTAAGGCTTCCTTTGCAAAGCTGTCCAAGAGAATATCTATGGCTTTGACAATAGCATCACTAAACGTCAGGGGATTAAGAGACAATACAAAGCGTAGAGAGGTGTTTAATTGGCTTCGCAAAAAAAATTACTCGGCATATATGCGACAAGAAGTCCACTGCACTGAAAATACTAATCACGTATGGTCTGCTGAATGGGGCTATCAAGCTATTTTTAGTACTTATAAGAGAAATAAAGCAGGGGTATGCATTCTTTTCAACAACAACTTCGATTTTCAAATAGAAAAAACTTACACTGACCCCCAAGGACGCTTCATTATTTGCGACATTAAAACCAATGAAAAGTGTTTTACTTTAGGGAACATATATGCTCCTAATGAAGACAACCCAACATTCTTCCTTGACTTCTTTGATCACCTTGCAGATTTCAAATGTGATGATATTATTATAGGAGGCGACTACAACCTTGTACTGGATTTAGAGAAGGACAAGATGGGTGGTCTTACTAAAACTCACCAAAATAGTGTTAAAGTTGTTCAAGAATTCTCTGAGAAACTAGATCTGGTAGACGTCTGGAGGATTCTACACCCAGACACTAGTAGATTTACCTGGAGACAACGTCATCCAAAAGTACACTGTAGGCTCGATTTTTTTCTAGTAAGCCAAAGCACAGTTAACATCACGACCCTCGCAGATATCGTCCCAGGTTATAAAACCGACCACTCAATGACTACGTTATGCTTATCACTACATTCAAATCTACGTGGACCAGGTTTCTGGAAACTAAACACATCTTTTTTAACTGAATTGGATTACGTAAACCAAATTATTAGATTGCCTCTAAATGCCTTTTTAAATTGTACCAAATTAACAGAATCAAGCATCTCCTGGATAGGAAAACACTTCTGTTAGTAATAAATTCATTTGTCTTTAGTAAACTCCAATATTGTTCAACTGTCTGGAGTAATACCAGCAGCAGCAATATTGACAAGTTACAAAAAGTCCAAAACTTTGCTGGGCGAATTATTCTGGGACTAAGAAAGTATGACCATATTTCGGATGGGTTGCGATCGTTGAAATGGCTTCCTATTAGAGAGAAACTCATTCTAAATGACGCTACTATGATGCACAAATGTATTAACAAGCTTGTTCCAGACTATCTTGCTGATATGTTTAAATCACGTTCTCAAGTCCATAATAGACAAACTCGATCATCTGGTGCTTTGGATATACCTTTATGTCGCCTGTCAACAGGGCAGCGCTCCTTTGCTTTCAGAGGAGCCAAACTCTGGAACTCCTTGAATGATAACATTAAGTCCTTAAAATGCCCCAGGAATTTTAGACGTCATCTTGCAAATGTTTTATTAAGTTGATATATTATATTATATTATTGATATATATTTTGTAATTATAATATTATTGTATTTACATTCTCAATTAATTTATATATTTGTATTTTTTTATTCTATTGAGCTGAAAAGCCCACTTAGGGAGCATCAATAAAGTGTATGTATGTATGTATGTATGTAAATTAAAACAACGATTCAGGAAACACTCGATGAGTACAAAAATGACGAATCGGTAAATCCTTCACTTCTTTGGGAAATGATAAAGCTAAAAGTGCGCGAAAAATCGCTCCGCTACTCCAAGAGCAAAACAAAGCAAGCTAAACAACGCGAAATATTTCTGGAACAAACAATTGCCAGATTAGAAGCGGATCTCGATAATAAAAACTCCGATGAAATGCACTCCTTACACCTGGAGGAACAATTGAATGAAAGCAGGCTTAAGCTTGAAAAGATAATTGAAATCCGCACCAAAGGCGCAATTTTGAGATCTAAGACTAAATGGTATAAGGAAGGAGAGAAAAACACCAAGTATTTTCTTAATTTAGAAAAACGACACTACAAGCAAGGGACAATAAGTCAAATTAAAATAAACGATAGCGAATTTGTCACCTCGGATAAAAAAATATTAACTGAATGTGTGGCGTTCTATAAAAATCTCTACTCATCCAAAGGTAACACATACAACCAAGATGGTACAACTGTTTTCTTTGAGGGTGGTGATGAAAGAGCCATTGACGAATATGAATTAACTTCGTGCGAAGGAGTTTTAACTGAAAAAGAGTGCCTTGAAGCTTTAAGAGATATGGAATCAGAAAAGACCCCTGGGACCGACGGCCTACCAGCCGAATTTTACAAAGTGTTTTGGAAAGATGTATCCAGCACCCTAATTAGCGCACTGAACTACGCTTATGAAACTGGAAAACTCTCAATAACCCAGAGAAGAGGAATTATCAAACTTATCCCTAAGAAAGACGCAGAACCGTTCTTTATTTAGAATTGGAGACCCCTAACCCTCCTGAACAGCGACTATAAAATAGCGGCAAAATCAATTGCTAATCGCTTGAAACCTCTCCTCCCTGATCTCATTAATTACGACCAGACTGGCTTTATAAGAGGTAGTTTTATCGGAGAAAACATCCGCCTTATCGATAGCGTTATTTGCTACGCTAAAGAAAACAATATACCAGGATTACTTTTGTTTTTAGATTTTGAAAATGCTTTTGACACGATAGAATGGCCTTTCATTAGGAAAACCTTTCAACATTTTGGTTTTGGTAGTAGCATCTTAAAATGGCTAAACCTTTTCTATTGCTGCCCAGAAAGCTGCGTTTTGAATAATGGTTGGGCGAGCGATTTTTTTGAAATCCAAAAAGGTGTAAGGCAAGGCTGTCCCCTTTCACCTTATCTGTTTGTTCTGGCAGTAGAAGTTTTAGCTAAGGCAATTCGTGAAAATAAACGTATTAAAGGGATCTTTGTAAACGGTAAAGAAATAAAACTAAGTCAGTATGCAGACGATACAACTCTTATACTAGATGGAACAAAGGAATCGTTAATAGCCTCTCTCAAAACACTGGATGATTTTTATGAAGTCTCTGGCTTAAAACTTAATGACAAAAAAAACAGAAGCCTTTTTGATTGGGGCAAATTGTAACAAAGATGAAATATCAATTTTCGGAAGAAACTTTAAATGGCCGAAGTGTAAAGTTAAAGCTTTAGGTGCCTGGTTTTCAAATGATCCGGAAGCAACTGCAACTTTAAATTATAATGAAAAACTAGATAAGGTCCGGAATGTTTTGAGCTGCTGGAAATACCGTAGACTTACCCTAGTTAGAAAGATAACGGTCCTAAAAAGTCTGGGTGCCTCTCAGTTCGTTTATGTGCTCTCACCTTTACATACAAATGTGAAAATTATCAAAGAAGTAAACAAGTTATTTTTTTCATTCCTCTGGAATGGAAAAGGAGATAAAATCAAACGAGACATTATAACAAACGATTATGCTAATGGAGGACTTAAAATAATAGACATACAGTCTTTTAACAAGTCCCTGAAAGCTACATGGATTAAAAAATATCTGGATGAAGAGAACCAGGGAAAATGGAAATATTTTTGTGATATAGAGTTAGAGCGATTTGGAGGTACAATAGTCCTCACTAGTAACTTAAACAAGAAAGATACCATTGAGAATTTCAAGATTAAGAATAACTTTATAAAAGAGATACTTTCAATCTGGGCGGAAGTCAATTTTGATGAAAACATAACGTCCGAGAAACAATTTCTTGAACAAACTTTATGGCACAACTCACTCATTAGAATCGATAACTGTCCCGTCTTCTATCGTGAATGGTTTGATCGAGGCGTTACGAAAGTGAAACATTTGAAAGATGAACATAACAAATTTTTATCTCTAGCTGAGCTGCAGCAAAAATACAGCTTCAAAGTTTGTCTTTCAAAGTATTTCGGACTAGTGTCTGCTCTAAAATCTATTTGAACTACATGTAAAACAAACTGTATCAAAAACTGCAACAATTATGAAACCTTTGTAGTAAGATTAACAGAATGCCAAAGTGCGAGCAAACTTGTATACACCAAGTTGCTTTCTACAAAGTGCCAGTTACCATCCCATAATCAACAGAAATGGCTAAAAGACTGCAACGAAAATGATGTGGAGGCGATTAATTGGCGGGAAGCCTACCAGTTGGCCGCTAAATATACTAAAAGTACAAGAATTATTGAATTCCAATATAAATTTTTACATAGACGAATATCAACGAACGACTTCTTAACAAAAATTGGCGTAAAAGACAACCCAAATTGTTCTTTTTGTAATAATGAACCGGAGAAACTTCTTCATCTTTTTTGGTCTTGTCCTAAAGTGGCCTTCTTCTGGCATAGTTTATCTCTTAAGCTGACTTTGCTCCACATTACACCGGAACATTACACATTAGATATATTTGTTGTACTTGGTCTAAAGCCGGATTCTTCAAAAAACTGCCAGCAAATTAATTTCCTTTTCCTTCTAGCCAGAAATTACATCTGGATTA